ATCGGAGGGAAAGAAGAAACACTTGATTATGTAAATATGAGACATCAAGCTAAATATGAGATGGATATAAAAAAGGGTAGAGGAGTGTGTGGATCTGCTCTCAACATCTGCCACACTTCTACCCATTTCTAAGCGTACGACAAGGGTTAGGGTCATTCAATTCCCAGGGACCTTGGGTGCTATATAACCACCTGTTAATCCCAGATATCCTCACATATTAGAAGGCTCGACCCATCTGGTCGAGCCTTCTAACATGAAGAGAAGAGCATCTGGGCCTATACTGTGATAGTTGCTCAGATAATTCTCCAATAATTCTGAGACTTAGAGTATTTTTTTGTGTATACAACAGGTGTGGTGATGAATCAACATAATCTGATGTCATTGATGCTGTTTCCATATATGGTAACTTTTCCCAACGGATACAAGTCAATATCTAAGATCAGATATGAATAATTTTAAACAATTTTGATGTGGTAAGACTTGGAAAACAAGATGTGACACTGGTATGTGACATCAAAGGGTTTGTTATACTCATTGATGTGATACTATACATATTGATGATCAAACATTGGTCCCAGCTCCAGACATGCTGTTACACAATATTATGTAAGGTCACAGGTGTGACATATCTCCCAAAGAGGAAATTTCCGCCCGTTTGACTGTACAATTATCAGAGAATGTCACACATTGTCACAAAATCAAAGTTGTGTATTTTGAATATACAAACCACTTTCATTAAGTGACCTACAGTGACAGCTCAATAAATGTATTAGCACTGACCCATCACTAGCTTATATATAACTGATGAGCCTCTATCTCCATAGCTGCTTGAGCTACCAGCATGAATGATGTACTAGAAGGAAGGGTCTCAAAAGTCCTATTGATTGATAACATATTTTGATTATTATCATCTAATATAATCATCATATTGACCATTCAGTCATTAAAAAGAGAATATCTAGTACTTAAAAATGTAAGGTGCCTAAGTTGTGACTTTGGCTGTTCTAACATGAGGCTCTGGTATGTATCCTCTTATCTCCTAGTGAATAGGGCACTCAGGATGCAATGCATTCACTCATCAGTGGCCTCTGATCTCCATCACCTTTGAGAGATGAGCACAGATCTCCACCTATCCTTAGTGGATAAAGTTGGAAGGGAGTTCATTTGAAAGGTATACCATCCTACTATCCCTGAGACCTATCAGTGATATTTTTTTTTGTCGCCATTGCCTTGATCTATTCACTGTCAAGCATGCCTGAATACTAAATTCAGCAGTATTTTGCTGATATCCTGGGACTACATGCATGGAATCTCATGATCTAAGTTGATATGATATCATGGCATAGTCTAGCACACCTCCGCCCATTTCCTACTATAGAGCAAGTGTTAGAGCTAGTCAATTTCTAAAGACCTTGGGTGCTATATAACCCAGGATAGAGATATGCTAGAGGAGTAAGGGAATCAGTTTCTAGGAGGTGAACAATGCCCTTACCAATGCATATACCCAGATTTCCCAGACTTGCACAGGTCATGCTATGGTGAACTCATCATTATTGGGATAGATAACACTGATAATGGTACTGTGAGAGATCCAGAATAGCTATGAGGTTGATTCAAGTGCTGAACATGTTCATTTGAAGGTCCATACAATCCTATATTTAAGTCTTGAATCATACTTGAAATTAATTTCTAATCAGTTGTAATAGCGAAGATACTCTCTTTTGCTCTATCGGTACCTACTCTTTCTTTAGCTACTTTTAGTAGCACATACCAGAGCCACAACTTAATCTGGTAGAGGGTCCTAGTAGACATCCGAATACCCTTATACACCCACCTCAATGTCCAATAATCAGGCTACAGACCTTACTATTCATGTAAACCAGTTTTGCCCAAAACCTGTGTTTGAATATCTGCCCCAATTCATCCTTCAAGAACATAAAGAGATCAATCAGAGTTAGTGGGCTGGTGTACATACCTGATTGACTGAACCTTCTACATTTGGATGTATAATCAACTAGCAGATCGTAGCTGCATTGCATTACCAGTGAGATGTTTAGCAGTATTTATCATTATAGTGAAGAATAACAAGATTTTCTATGTGTCCCATGTGGTGTGAGAAGGATAATCTCATAGGGGGACCCCTCTGTATACTTTCTACCCTTATTCCATTGGTGACCTTTCACCTCTGAGTAAGTTATAGAGAGATTAAAGTGGTAGAATATATGTTATATATACAGATGTATATGATACCTAAAATTATGACAGGCTCCCATGGCTGTAATATACCTCTATTAGACCAGAACATAACTTGGAGCATACTTATCTGTGGATACCTCAGCAAGATATCAACGGATCATTGTGCCTGATCAAATATGAAACATAAAAACTAGGAAAAAGCAGTATAGTATCATAATTTCACCATATAGAACTATGATCACATCAGAACCTCTCGAGCTTAGGTAACTGGCTACCTACCAGTACAACAACCATATCAACCCATACAGAATTAGTGAAAATATTGCAGCATGTGATGAATCATTGTAAGATGATATATGTATACCAATAACATTTTTATTGTCAAGGATATTGACATTATCATCATCAGGAAAAACCTCCCTGAGAAATCTCATGGGATTTCTAGAATTTTCAGTGGCCTTGAGAAATCAAGAGAAATTTACCTAAATTTCACACAATTTCTGGAAATTTCCAGGAATCTCTCTTTCATGTCAATTAGAACTGTGAAATAAAGAGAACGAACTATATGGCATGTGTGACTACTCATTTATCCAAGATCCTCCACTTGGTAGCAGTTGTCATTGCAATTTTCAACTCAAGTATTACCGGCAAGGCACTTCAAGTCCACCATCAAAGACAAGCCCTAAAGCTATCAATGTGTCATGTTGCTATGTTGTTGGCAGATCCGTGATGGAACTGTTACCAATGTGTCACATCAGGAAAAAAAATCGTACCATTCTTTCCGTTCCCCCTCATGTCCGCTCACCTTCTCCCCCTTGCCTCATCCTCCATAACCGTAGAGCGCCTGACTAGGCATTGTCCTAGTCTCACCCATCGTGCCAAGATGCTTTCCTGGGGCTGTAGCCGTGCCCGGTGTCTGCTGCAACAGCGCTGGCAGCCTGGCAGTATACTCTCCCTGCACTGGATGCACCGCAGCACCAGCGGCTTCAACAACCGGTGTGTCTTCCTCCCTAATCTCCTCCAAAGCGTGCACAGGCGTAGGCCTCATACTGACCCCCGACTCCACAAGGTTTTGCACAAGACAACGCCGTCGTTGTCCCGCATGCGCATCACTCATTCTTCTCCCGGTGCGTGTGTTTCTCAATTCAAATGCTTAAATGCTCAGCGCATGTGTTTCAGGGATGACTTACTCACCTGCGTCACTGCCCCACCTCTGCACCACCACCTCCCGCCGCCGTCTCGAGGCCCGCCGCCGAGCCGCTGCTCCGATCAGGCTGGAAATACACAAGAACTTGGGGACGACATGTCTCCTACTTGTGTGAAGTTTTCAGCCCGGCCGATGCAGCGGCTGTGCCGCACGCGCAAGGGCGGACTTCCGCCCGCCCTCCACACTGCTGCTCTCCGGCTGCGTCGCGTTGGCTCAAACGCGGCCAGGGAGCGCGGGTAGCATGGTGCTACCCCATCGGAAGATTTGGCGCCGAACGGCCGCGCCGTCCGCCCGTATGTGCGTTGTTTTTGTGCCTGTATATTCTCGAGGGATTGCTAACATGGCGGTAGATCTTTACGACCCTTTGCCAATCCTGCTTTTTAGCAGGGGCCCGGGGGGAAGAGTCATTGTGGATGTCCTCGTCATGATTCTGGTGTGTCTCGCTTCACTCTTACCTTCTGGCCATTGACAAATGATGTGCAGGCCTGTTCCTTCCCTGCTCTGGCCGTCTTGCGGTCCGCTCCTGAGCGCAGGATGCCCGGATGTCGAAGGCCGGTGCATGTGTGGGTCTGTTACGGACGAGCATGGCTTGTTAGCATCGTCTTCTGGGTGCGATGTGAATTGGCACATACCACGGGCTCTTCGTGTATCATGTTATTATTGTATTGTAGTATTTCAATCTATATTTTGCTTAATCTCTGCATCTTGATCCAATGAGAAGGCATGGAAAGACTACAAAACTACTGGAAATCTGCTGGAAATTTTGCAAGATTTCTGAAATTTTCTGGGGGACTAAAGGAATCACAGAAATCCTGGAAATAGAAGAAATTACTCAAAATTCTTGCTGATTTCCGGAAATTTCCAGAAATCTCATGGGATTTCTGGGGGAGGATTTTCCTGATGATTCAGGTACCCTTCATAGTGCTTCAATCACTTATGAAAGCTGTCTACTTTACAAGATATTTGTGAGGGCAACCCTGGAGACTCCGACGACTAGAAGAGGCGGCACCGGCTCCGCCAGGTGGCTCTCAGGCTGAGGGAATGCTGCAGGTTGTAGGGTCTATACTGGATCGACTGGAGAGGTTGGAAAGGCACGCAGACCAGTCGGACCGCCTTACCCAAGCACAAGAGCTGTCAGAATGCCAGGCCGAATCGTCCGGGCTATCCGCCAGAGCCAAAGCCCGGCTTACTTACTATGTCAACAACTCGAAGCATGAAGTCATTGACCTGACACAGGAATGAAGTGAGAATCCAAGCAATGCGGTGGCGCTGCAGAGAAATACAAAGGCAGTATGTTACATTGATTTGACTGGTTTGAATATAATTGTTGTTCAAGTTGTGATAAAGTTCGATTGTCCGAGGACTTGGGGAAACTTGTAACTTGTTGTTAGTACATGTACAGACCACCGCTAAATATGGGACCAGTTACATTACTTTTGCAGTAAACAATACTAATACAAAACAGCAGGCGGGACAGAAGGTATATATAGCGCATAGGAAGACGAGTCCATAACAGCAAGGGGGGGAAATGGAACATAAAGGGAGGATATCGTACAAGTACATGAGTTCTTTGCGTGGCGTCTTTTGTTTTCTTTCGTCAAGCCTCCACCTGCGGTGCCCCGCCCGTGCCGCCCAGCGCGGCCATCCAGATCCTTGTCTTGTACAAGCGGAACAGCTCGCGCACGAGCTCGCGGAAGTCGATACGCTTCTCCGCGACAAAGTAGAACGTCAGCTTGCGGCGGTCCCACTGGTACTCCGCGTCGACGACCTCCATCGGGAGCTTCTTTGCGCGCACCTTCGTCTGGCACAGAGCCAGCGCCTTCAGCTCGTCTTGCATCTTTGCCAGAAGGAGTCTGTGCGGGGAGTTGGTGGGGGAATTTAGAGAGGAATAACACGTACTGCGCATCCCCCGCACCGGCCTTGCCGTATATCATTTTCGGCGAGATCTCCTTCTTCCCGCCGCCGCCAGTCTCTCCTGCCCCGCCGGGCGAAGTCGGCGGGGATCCCTGGCCTTGCGGCTGCGGTTGGTTTCCTCTGCCCGCCCAGTACGCCTCCACCTCCTCAATCGTGATGCTATCATTGATCACCTTGCCCAGGTCCTTGCCACGATCCGCCTCCACGATGACGAGGTCGCCCACATGCAGCTCCGGCGCCGGCTCGTCTTTGCCGCGGGGAAGCGGCAGGTAGAACAGGTCCGTGCGGCCCGCTTTGAACTCGACGATGTAGAGCGGCCACTCGGGCGGGACGGCGTGCAGCGGGATGCCCTTGCCCTGGTTGTCGTGCTGCTGCTGATGGGCCGGCTGCGATGGTGGTGCGTGTGGCTGATGAGCAGGCGGCGCATAATGCGGCTGCTGAGGATACTGCGGCTGCTGTTGGTCAGCACTTGGGAGACGAGAGGGGTAATAAAACTCACCATATATCCGCCTCCGCCCCCTCCCCGCGGCGATAGTGGCCCGTGACTACTCGCCGTACTCGGGACACGGACTCTAACAGGCGAGGTTGGACTCGCAGGATACTCTGCCCATTCCCGCGATCGCTGCTGCGAGACTGACCGGGGCAACACACTCGCGTCGCTGTCGAAATATCTCCCCCTGGTTGGCGAGGGCGGAGTCTGGGTGTGCGTATTGAGCGACAAAGAGCCCAGCGCGCCTTCGAGGTCGTCATCCGTAAGCAATAGGCCACCTCCACCTCCCCCGCCTCGACGAGCAAACCCACCAGACGGAATGACAGGTGGATTGTCAGCCTGGAAGCCGCTTGCATCGGGAGCCGCAAACCCAGTCATCCTAGCCCGTGGCTGGCCGGAAACACTGTGCCGTCTGCTCGTGGCCCCACTCTCGGTATACCCATAGGCCTCATAATCGTCGTCAACCCCATAATCGTCCTCATATTCGCCCGCATATCTGATGCCCCGACCGCCATAGCTTGCCCCAACCCCAGACAACCGTTCGCGCTCCCACAACTGACGGAAACTACCACCCGGAGCGGCCACATCGTCCAGCAATGCACCAACATCCCGCATAAACGGACTTGTGTTGGTGTTCTCCCCTCTCTCGCGCTCCCTCCTCCCCAACGAATTGAACCGTCCGCCCGCGAGGTTGTTATGGCCCGCATATGCGTTGTTGCCGTACAGATTGGACGTAACGTATGAATTGGCGGCGCTGCCGAGGCCATAGGTCGGGCGGTAGCCGTGCAACGGAGATGATGTGGAAGACGTCGATGAACTAAGTGAACGGCCAGCGCCTATAGCGCCAGCCAAGCTTTGGGACCGGCTGCGAGAGAGGTCGATGGCATTGGAAGCTGGCCGTCCTCTGTACTGCGCAAACGAGCCGTAATGCGCATCGTAAAGCTCGTCGTCGGGATCTAAGAGCTCGTCATCCTCGAAAGTACTGCCAAATCGACCTCCACTGAACGAGGATGAGCGTGTCGCTGGCGGAAGGTGGTGGGCGGGAGAAGATGGTGACGGCGAGGTTGCCTGCCAATTTGACGCCGTCGTGGGGTTGCCGGCAGCGCCAAGCGACCCGACGAAGGGTGATGACGTGGCGGGTGGATGAGGTGGCTGCGAGGCCGCTCGGTGGTTTCCCCCTCCTGCAATTCCCTGCTGGCCACCCACACCTCCTCCATTCCCCGCCTGGCCTTCGGGTAAGAACCGGTTACGGCGCTCGTCGTCCATATCCTCTTTTGCGTCTATGGTGAGTGTGGTGGCGGGTCTAGGGTCTATGCTCTATGTCGTCTAGGTGGTCTATGGCTGGCGTCGTGGCGGCGAGAGCGAAGGGGCACTGGGAGGGAAGTGAGGTGAATAGGCGTCCCGTGGCTCGGCGGAGGCCAGCTGACCACCCACCTGACACTCCTGACACGGCCGCAGTGTGCTTCCCACGCTGCTTCTCCTTCGGCGCTTCTACACCCGCGTCGTCTTCTCTGCGTGCTGCGTCCTCCTGGGGGCCTGGGCGGGCGATGTGTAGCGGAAGGGAGAGAAGAGGGAGAAAGATCGCTATCGCCGTAGCCATCGATCGATTACCGCCAACGGCAGTGACAACGGCAGGTCTGGTCGTGACTCCGATCGTCCCAGGCACACGCGCGTCAATCATCGACGGCCATCACCCGCCCTCCTATTTGTGGTTAGATTGACCAGTGGGCACACGACCGGGTCTTCCCAGCAGACACGCCCGCCCAATCCGGAGGCTACGCGGGGAAGGTGCGGTGCCGGGGCCTCGATCTCGGCGTTTAGCAGGACGGACGATGTAATGGAGTGCAGCCGTTCGCCGGCGGGGAACAGCGCAGATAGAACAAACTACTTATTTATTCCTTTGTCAGATGGCTTGTAAAGTAAAGACCTAACTAGTTTATCTGTCACTGGATTTTCAAATAAATGAGGGCAGTCTCAATTAAATATAAGTGGGCTTGTCATAACACAACAAGTACACACTGGGCTGATTTAGAAATTTCCCCCTTGGGAAAGTTATAAAGGCAAGAGTAAATCTCATATTTATCTATCCATTTTTTGTGTGATAAAACAACTATATAAATGGAAGCTTTTGACACAAAGAAAATCTGTGGACAAAGCTATCCTTTTTCTAGCAGAAAAACTGAAAGTAAAACTGTCTGATAAATGCCACATTTGTTCACAAATTTGAGCTATAATTTCTACAAAGGAAAAAACTCGACATAAATCTTAGATATATCTGAGCATTGATCTGCAGGAAAAACCGGGATTTTACTGACAGATAAAGCAACAGATAAACTTGTCGTTGTCTTTTGAATGACAAATTTTCCTGTGGCTTTATCCAGCAGGAAAACCTGACATTTTCCTTAAATGTCTGGATTTATTCAAGATTTATGTCAAGTTTTTTCCTTTGTAGAAATGCTAGGTTAAATTAATGGATAAATGTGGCATTTATCTATAGGTTTTACCCTGGGTTTTTATGCTGGAAAAATGCCAGCTTTATTCCTAAATTTTTCTTGAGTCAAAATCTACTATTTGTATAGTGATTTTATCATACAAAAAATCTACAGATAAATTGGAAATTTATCCTTCCATTCATCCTCTAACTTTCCCAGGGGGTAAATTCCTTAATCAGCCCAGTGTACAGACTTATGGCATAATAACTGATTCCTTTGTATCTCTTGGAACAACTATTTATTTGTAGCCCTAATATGTAACAAGGGCCTTTGGCACACATGCCTGAGTCTAAAGCCTTGCTTTAGTATTGTGTGACTATGCAGACACATGTTGTTTGCTTTGTTTGGTAGTGGTGTGTGCCAGGTTTGGGATTGGACTCTGATGGAGTGGTTTATAGTGTAGCAAATGGTGGAGAAGGGGAGCTGTATGCAGTCCGCCTGCCTCCAGCTTCAAGCTTTAAGCCTTCAACAATATCATCAGGCTATAGAATATGAGCATGGAGCATAAAACATAAGAAGGAAATTTGTGTAAAATATGATATATCATTAGTATATGATGATATCTAGATGCGGTTCAACAGCCACATACTGTGGGGAAGCTTGCGCTTGTCAGACAGGTGACTGCTTCACGGTCGCTTACCAATCACTCTGAAAGCAGTGTCACCTTTTTATAATTTGCGGTGCTGGGGCGAACTGATATGTGAATAGGGAAGCAAGCTTTCCCATTATCTGTTCTCTTCTTTTTATAAGTAAGGTGGATATAAATGAATACTGAGGCTTTGTTTTAGATCATGCTTGTTGTTTTGTTACTAGATCTCTTGGCTGTGACAACTTGAACCCACCAGCAATGACTATTGAAGCAGGGGATCTTGTTGTCGCTAGTGCCTGAGTACCAAAGCTTGAGCCTCGAGGCAAGGAAAAGGAGGGTAAGGCCGAGTGTGTCCAGATATGTGTTGATGTTGCTAACACAGGGGCAAAAATTAGGCAGTGGCTTGTAGGGTAGTAAAAGATGATGACATTGTCGGTGGCTGTGAAAGCCGGGAGTACGCGCTGTAAGTAGAGAAGTCACACCTGGACCTGCGCTGGCGCGTCTGGAGGCGCCGGGACGGACTATGAGTACCTGGAGTTAGATAGTAGAGTTGTCGAGTTTACCCGGGAACCGGACCTCCCGATACCCGGCTGGCATCACCCAAGAACATTGACAGGCAAGCAGGCCGACTAGATGTATTTACCAATGTTGACATTTATTTGGATATATTTGTTTTTGCGTTGTTTACATGTGTTAGGGATAATTTTTCACATGTGGGACCTTACTAAAGCAAGGTACTATATATATAGCAATTTGAATATTAACAAGATGCCCCTTGCAACTGATTGATAGGTTGCAAGTATTGAACAGAGATTATCAGCAGCAAAAAACAACAGCCTTCAGAAATTGTGAATTGGCCTCTAAATTCCAGAAATAAAATTTTCAATATCAAGTCTTTTCTTGGAATTGGTGGAATTTTGTGGTCATACAGCTGTAAGTGGCTTGTAAGAGCCATTGACTTTCACTGTAAAATATTTGAACCTGTTCTTAAATTCTTATCAATAAATTCATCTCTGTCAAAGCCTGGGTTTAAGAAACCTTTTTCTTTGCCATTCAAACCTTTTATTCTGGCCCTGGTTGATAAGATAAGACAAGGAGGAAATAAGATAGACGATAAGATGGTGATTGGATCATCAGATGTCAATGCTAATGTTGATTGACAGCATAGAGTTGGACATGAGACAGACAGCATGTAAACACATGGCTAAAGTATGACATCATTGCCTCTCGTATTAGGCATGGTAAACACATGGTAGTAGACTCCAAGCTCTGGCGGCTTCGATCCCTCCAGAACCACCTATGCTCAGGACCTTTCCATTTGGTCTGCTCCATTGACCTAGCCGGCCCTAATGACAGACTTGCCCCACCTAGAGCCAGGGCCGGACTTTGACTCTGATGAAGATGATGATAATGAACACCTTGAAGATAAGGACTATATGTTCTATATATTGTTCTGCCCAGTCTAGGAGATATGCGCTAGCAGCACAGTGTCTCAACAGTTGGCCGAAGTGTTTGCCTGTAACTCCACCCTCCACCTGCAAGATCCTAGACTAGGCTAAGGAGTTCGAAGATGTCTTCAGTAAAAACTCATTCGACACCCTCTCGGGGTGACAGACTTGGGACCACACCATAGAACAAGGATGCAAAGCCAGCTTGTCCGGAGCTCTTCCACATCTGCGCCCTTGAAGCCATTGTTGTCACTGGTGCAAGCTCTGAGCCGCTCCAAGACATCAATGTGGCACTCTCTGGCTTTACCCGATCTAGAAGAGCCCATCTGCATATGGACTTCGAACCTGGGGCATGTTCTGCAATGGAGAGTGTAAACGAGTTCTATGACCAGATTGCCTCTAGAGTTGCTGAGGCCAAGGCTGCACTGGTAAAGGCAAAGGAAGAGTATAAAAGGTACTACAACCAGAAGTATACTGCGGCCCCTGAGATCAAAATTGCATTTTTAACCTTTTTTACTTCAAATCCAAAAATTTTTGGCGGTCATACTCAGAGACCTCAGATGCCGAAAATTTCAATTCAGTGCCAATGTCACACACACATTTTGGGTGCTGAATTGATTAAAATGCTACAAAGGCTACAACATATCGCATGAACAACAACTATATCTTCGCTCTGGAGAAAGTCATGAAGTTCTATTGTAAGTACCTCGGCAAACCATGGCATATTGCCTCTGCGACCTTTGACACAATACCCTTCCAGTGGATGCATCGAGACACCACATTCAAAAAAAAGAGGGGGATGTCAGGGGAACTCTTCCTTCAGACCCTCTGGACCCCTTGTACACTGTGCTCCAATATCCAGGTTTTTTTGGAGTGGCCTAGAAAATTGTTGCCAGCTGGAAAACCAAGATGTTCAAGATTCTTATCAGGCACTTGAGGTAAGGGAGGGGGGTCTCAGGGGGTGAAAAAAAAAACACTTTTTTATATATGAAAGATTTAAGTCTTATATAGGTGAGTATATACAAGAATAGTAGGACTGGGACTCGCACAGTAGGACTCAGTCCTACTTTGATGGGTCCCAGTCCTACTTCTACGGCCCCAGAATGGCACTCACTTCCCGCATATCAACCCCAGTTGATGGATCGACAACCATCGCACCAACAGGGTTGTGGCGCCGGCCGCGGCAGCTGGGGTTTCCACTCCGGACCCCGACCAGGGGCTTCGCCCGGGGGCTTTCGCTCGCCGCGGGGCCCGCTGCGCGGAGTGTGGGATCTTGTTTCAGCTTAGCTCATGCTCTTTGCTTGGTAAGCATGGAGGTTTGTAACAGAGTGGCGGCGCCGGCTGCGATGGCCAGGGTTTTCCACCCCGGACACCCACCAGGGCCCCGGACCCCACGCTGCCGCGGGCTGCTGCTTGCCGCGGAGGCACGCTATGCGTAGCATTGCCCATCCTTTTTTTTTTTGATTGATATATGATTTCCGTTGCTCTCTAAGAGCTCGGCTAAGTTATCTCGGCACCGCAAGAGTGGAATTGGGCCATCAAAGTGGGACTGAGTCCCACTCGGTGAGTACCACTCCTACTATTCTCATTACTGCTCTATATACATCAGTAAAACAGCATGTTGGTCTTTTTCGTCTTTCCGGTCTTTCGAAGGTCTTTTCGTCTTTCCGGTCTTTCGAAAGACCGGAAAGACGAAAAAGACCAAAGACATGATGTCTTTCGTAAGCAGGTTCACCT